TGGACTCCTTGGACTATATAGTCTGTAGACACCCTTCAAGCCTGGAACTGAACTCACCGTTTTGGCTCAACTTTCAGCCAAATGACAAGCCTATAAAGTGAACAATAACACCAGGGAGTACACTCATTAGAACATTCAACCATACAGGATCAAAGGGGCAGCATTTGCCCAGGGATAAAGCTCAGAAGCTGGAAATGGACAGGAAAGAAGGACTAAGGGAAATGGTAAACATAGGGAGGGAGTGGGAAGAGTGTTGTTACATTGTGCAGATTGCAATCAATGTTACAAATGTATATGAACTGTTGAATGGACAACCGATTTGCTCTATAAATTTTCACCCAAATCACAACTGAAAGAAAAAAAAAGTTGAACCTCATTAGTAAGGTGGGAAATATAAATTAAAACTCACAACGTGATACCATTAACCAGCTACCATATTGTCAGAAATAAGAAGTCTGACACCACCAAGTACTGGTGAGAAATGCAGTCACAGGGGCTCTCAGGCACTATGGGCAGGAGTGTAAACTGACACAACTGCTTTGGAAAACTGTCTGGAATTATCTGGGAAAAGGTGAAGCTACACATATCCTATAACCCAGCAATTTCACTTGTAGCTGTACCCCTGGAGAAATGCTTGCCGATGTGCGCAAGGAGACCTGGACGAGATTCTTTTCAGTGACACTGTTCACAAGAAGCTAAACTAAAAACAACCTGCACACCTATTTACAGTAGACGGGATAGAGAACATTTAGTATACATGAGTATAATAAAATACTCTGGTGTTTTGTCCCAAATGACACACCCACACACATAGCAATCATAGCACATTTAGGAAGATAACATGTATGGGAGTTGCATGGTTAGCAAAAAAAATATAACACGTTACTTGCTTAACAATGCAGTATTCGTCAGTATAAATGAATGAATCATTGCTGGGCAAGAAGGATGTACCTCAGGAATACCATGTTTTGCAAGAAAAGAAGTATAAGGATATATACAGTACAGCTTCATTTATTTAAATATTTTACATAGGCAAAAGCAATTTATTTATTACTTATTTAGGAGAACAAGCATACATGGTATAAAATGCAAGAACATGACCAACACAGAATTCAGGTCAGTGGGTGACTTCTGAGACAGGAGGAGGGAGAGGGAATAGAGGGACACACAGGGACTCCACCGGCCAGACGGTTGTTGTTCTTAAACTGAGAAGCAGTACACATGTGTTTGCTGTACTGTTGTTATTATTTTAAATTTTCTTTTATAAATATTGTTTTGTATTCAATATTTCATAATAGCAATTTTAAAGGATTCTAAAATACCAACATATCTGATAAACTTCAGTAACTGTGGTAGTAATTATAATATGAATACTTACCAATTGCTGAGTGATTAACGTGTACAAATGCCTTAAACACATTAACCAAATCAATTCTCACAATCTTCTGAGATGGGTACTTTATTATTCCGCTTTCACTCATGAGCAAATGAGGCTCAGAGAGATTTAGTGACTTGCTCAAAGGCAAACAACTCAAAAATGGGGGATTTGGAGTCTTAACTAGGTCTGCCTGACTCAAAGACTATGCCCTTACCACTACAAAAACTAAAAAGAAAACCAAATTCACTGTTGTTGAGTTGGTCCTGATTCATAGTGACCTCTCCTTGGGTTTCTGAGGTGGTATCTCTACAGAAGTAGATTGCCTAGCCTTCCTTCTGAGGAGTGGCTGGTGAGTTTGAACCACTAGCCTTCTGGTTAGCAGTCAAATGCCTTACGTACTACAAACCTTCCTTATTTCTCTCTTCCAGGAAGAAATGATCCTATAAGACCCCAGAAAATGGTTCTTGGTCTTAGTTTCCAAAGTAGCAGCCTATTTCTTGAGTTCCTTTAAGAAAGGATTCCTGGTTCCCACTATCCCTACAGTTGGGAAGTTCTTCACAATTGTGGCATCTTGTTAAGTCTCAGTTCTGCCTGGGGTGGCCTCCTAGGCTGATGTGGATAATTACCGAATGTTTGGGTCCCCGTTAAGCTTATCCAAGGCACTCAAAGCTACCTTCTAGTATCATTTCATGGTGACAATATGGATGGGTGTCACTGAGGAGACCAGTTGCCCCCCCCCCCCAAGGGCATTCAGCTGTCTTACTGGCAAAGAATACTGAATATACCATAGACTTCCAGAAGAAGGAGCAAATCTTGAAAGAAGTACAGCCAGAATGATTCCTAGAAGTGAGAATGGCCAGACTTTGTCTCTCAGACTTTGGCTATCTTATCAACAGGAACCAGTGCCTGGAGAAGGATGTCATGCTTGGTAGAGTAGAGGGTCAGAGAAAAAGGGGAGGACCCTCAACAAGATGGACTGAGGCAGTGGCTGCAGTGATGGGCTCAAGCACAGCAACGATCGGAAGTTTGGCGCGGGGCTGGCCAGCGTGGCGCTCTGTTGTACACAGCGTTGCTGTGATTGGAGGTGATGTGACGACACCTAACAACAACATCTGGTAACTAGTCAATGGTTGGACAGGAGTATCCCTAGTGGTGGGGAAGGTTTCCACCTCCACTAAGCACTCAGTCTGCTGTAGGTATGGTAGGTGGGACACCAGAAATATGGGAATCCCCGGGCTACGGAGAGCCTACAGTTCTGCCCGAGTCATGCTTGTCACAAACCAATCGATCGTACCCTGCAGCAGCCAGGATAAGTGTCCATCATCTTGTTTACGCTAGTGTTGAAATATTTTACACAGGTAGAGAAGAAACCATGGGATTTGTTGACTACATCTGGCCCCAATTTTAATAAAGTGACCTTGGGAGGAAGTTTCCTATCACAAAGGAAGAAATAGAAATATTTAAAAAGCAAACAAGTTCATGGCTGCTCTCAGACCTGCTGCCATATGCTTTGCTTTTTTGAGCTTATGGATTAACATTAAAATAACAGGCCTGCATTCCTGAAATGTCTCTACTGCTACTCCATACTTCTACCACTTGAAAAGGCTGTCAGCTGCTGTCCTTGGAGGCATTACCATATTAGCCACCACTGTGTACAGCTGACTGTGTGGGGTGGGTAGTAGTTTACTAACCCTCCTCCCAGTGACACCCGAGGCTACGGAGGCCAGAACCACTGGCTGGAGTCTACAGCCTAAAGAAGGTGTGTGTGTTGAGGGGTGGGAAGCAGGGAACACATTGCTTTACAAATACTGATGAGAGCAACGGAATTCAACGGCATCAGGTGGCATTTTACTGATGGGTAAAGGAGCAAATATATTTTAAAATGTTTTAACCACTTCAAGTTTCCGTGGCTAGACAGAGTTGGATAAAATCCAGAAATAGACTCAGTGTGCAGAAAAGCACGTTTGAGATCTACAAGAAGTCAAACACCGCAGCAAAGCTCCGTAATTCACTCTGCATAAATGGCCCACCCTACAAGAGAGATCTCTCAGAGGTTCCCTGGATCAGAACAAGAATGCTCTCCACGGGCAGGAGAGAGTGGCCTTTTCACTTGAAGACAAAGAAATGTCTGTGATGGGAATGTGTGAGCCACTTTTCCTAGGAGAGCTGTTGAAATGCACTAATTACAAGCACGGGAGAGGTGAGGAGGCAGAGCAAAGAAGCCAAGCTGACCCACTTAAAGCCTGCGGCCTGCACTCATTTCTGAGAGTGAGGAAACCAGCTTGGGCCACCTTCTGCATTCCTTCCCTTGGTCCCTCCCCCAAGCCGCCCCCTCCACGTTACTGAACCTACAAAAGAGACAACTGGAATCCCCAAGTATGCAGTGGAGTGTTTACTGTTTCTGGCCACTGTGTACTGGTTACTTAGCTACTACTACTGAGGATAAAATGGTAACCAAGTAGCCCAAAAGACAATGTCCTTCCCACAAAGGCGAACCAGCAGGCACTGTTGGGGGACTCAGGGGCGGATGTGAAGATAAATAGATGCCTCAGCATATGGCAGCTCAGTATGATGATTCTTACGTTATGCACAAACATCCATTAATTTAGTTAAGGAATTCCACTTTCTGGAGAATAAAACTCAGGCACAAAGGTGTCAGGTCATGTCACCAAAGATGTCTAAAGTACAGTGACCGCCCAGAGCTTGGGGAGCCCCTAATGACACAGGACACACATGCTCCAGAGCAATGTCCCCAAGTCGCAGCCATTTGAGTTGGTTCAGCCTGACTCTCACCACATCTGTGTACCTGTATTATTACATATTTAATATTTTTCTTTAAATTGATTTTAAAACAACTCATTTGTTAACTTCTTATTCTCTTCCCCCGAACAACAATCTCCATGAAATCACTTTGGTAGGCAGTTGTATTTTTCCAACGTACCTTTAAATAAATGTATAACTATTTAAATAAAAAAGTTCATCCACAATCCATCTAAAATCATCTTGAGTACCCAAAGGAATGCAGGGAGAAACAGCTGATAAAGTATTTTAACTAGTGGTGCAGTGGGTAAGGCATTTGGCTCCTAACCAGAAGGTCGGTGGTTCAAACCCATCAGCTGCTCCACAGAAGGAAGATGAGGCAATCTACTTCCATAAAGATTTACAGCCTTGGAAACCCAGTGGGGGTTGCTATGAATCAGAACCAACTTGATGGCAGTGGGTTTGGCTTCTTTTTTGTTTAATCCTATGTGAGGTCCCTGGGTGGTACAAACAGTTAAGCGTTCAATTATTAATCTAAAGGTTGGTTACCTGGATGCACCAGGCCATGGAAGAAAGGCCTTACGATCTGCTGCCATGAAAGATTACAGCCAAGAAAGCCCTATGGGGTCGCCATGAATCGGAATCAACTAGATGGCAATGGGTTTTAAATACTAGGTTAGAATCACCTAACAGACTATGTCTGTTTTTAATTATCAGGAAAAGACACAGCTAAAGAGAATTCTATACTATTTACCTCCAGAGGTGGCCATGAAATTTAGATTAGACAGACTGGAGAGCTGGAGGGAAGAGGAAGTAAATTCAACGACTTGTGAGGGCGGGAAACAAAGGCCAGAGTACTCACATAAAGTTTTCTGGATATTCACTGAGGGCCATGTCGATGATGTTCAGGGCATCGTGGTGATGCTTCTGTGCTGACAGCAGGAGAGCAAGGAGGTGCAGGGAGTTGGCATCATCACCTTGAAGTTGAAGAGCTTGGCGGACATAACCCAGAGCCTCTGGAATCTGGTTTAAAACAAAACCAAAAAGAATTTTTTAACACACTGAGACACTTTGGAAGGGGTAGGGTGGGCAACCTGCCCCACCCATACACACACACAAGAAGCCATTTTGAGATCTGATTTTCTGTAAATATCAGGATTCTAAGCCAAGTCTTTATGACGGCCCCAGGCCATTAAGCACACACGTGAAAACAGCTGCCCTCTTCAAGCAGCAGTTTGACTGCTGAAGTGATACTCGAGGCCCTGTTTCTCAGCACATCTGCCAGGCCAAGATCTCTTCTTTCTCTCCAAATAAACACTGTCTCTTTTTCCACAAAGCAGCTCTACTTTTGATTACGCCCAAGATGATTTCACTCTAACTGGAGTCATATTCAAATTGCCAGACGTTTTGAGTGGATTAAACCACCTCAGCTAACTGTTCTCATTTTTTAAAGTATTGTTGCGAAATTAAAATGCTTAATAAGCTAAAAAACCTTTAACAGAGTTTTCCAAATGTTCAGACGTCTGCGGTTCTTTTTAAGACCCTTTGTCTTAGATTTCCATTAGACGTTAAGGCAATATGCAAACACAAATAAAACCCCCACATCTTTCCAAACTATAACCCCACATAACTCAATCCAAGAAACAAATTGCAATGCCACATACAAAACAGATATATCCAATTCAAGGATGACCAGGTTCAAGGACAACCTTAGCCTTTAAAATGCAACAGACATCTAAGACTTTCTTCAAAACCATCCAAGCACAAGGGTCACAAAACACATACATAATGGATAGTCAAACACCCTAAATTCCATGCAAGTTTGACAGTAGCTAAGGAGCATTAGAACCCGAAGCCAGATTTTGAAATGTGCTTAGGATTGTAGTGTCCTTCACACCCACCCCAGGGACCTGACTGTCTCCTCTTCCACATCCTGTGTTGGACTATCTCCTTGGCTCTCCTGCATTGTCCAAACCTTCAGGAACCTCACTCCTTAGTGGCCAGCTCCAGTGTGGGTCCTCCCTAAGCCTATCAGCCTTCCTGTCTGAAATCCCACGTTTGATGGATTTAGGTTATAAATGCTGCTTTTGAACCACAGAACCATGGCTGTCACTGCTGGGAGGGGCATCACCCAGTCAACTCTTCATTTACATGGAGAAAGCAGAGGTTCAGAGCACTGACATTTCTTGATCAAGGTCACCCAGCTATTGAGTGACAGTGATGACAGCGGCCCTGCTGACCCTTTGCTCTCCCCCCAGGCAAATGGCATTGACTGTAAAGAATAAGAGGACCATGAACCTCCTATCCTGCCCCCATGGGCCAGCAGGGAAACAGCCATGGAGGGCTGGTGTCTTGATGCTGTGTGCCCACAGGGCTGCTACTGCATCTACAAAGCTCCATTCCCTTGCCCCCTCCCCAGGATGACAGCTACTGCATGGTGAGCATTCAACCTGGTATTATGGTGAGGGCTGAAAGGCAGGCTCTACTCATGGTGTTGATTTACAGAGATGACCAGAGAAATCAGGGTCAGACTGACACAGGTTTCAAAATGGTATCCTAAGGGTAGCTGAGTGGAAGGAACTCAAAGCTGTCTCGTTCACTCAACATGTATTATCGAGGGCCTACCACGTGCCAGGCCAGGGTAGAGCCCTGATGATGCCAGCCATGGGTCCCTGCTCTCCTGGAACCTGAGTGTAGGGAAAAAGGCAGACTCGGGTCAGGAGAGCTGAGCAAGAGGCAGGAGAGCAGGCTGCTACAGAAGGAGCTTCCTGGAGGAGCGAGGGAAGTTCCTGACGGAGGGTCAGTCACTGGCCCAGGTCTGCTCCCGCAGCAGCTCTTCACAGGCGTAGCTCAGGCTGGCCGGGGGCCACACCGTACCAGGTGAGAGGACCTTGATGGGGCAGGGATCTTGGTTTCCTCCAGCCCCAGGTCACCAAAGAGAGCCATCCCCCGGAAACCAGGAAGTCAGACACAGGCCTAAAGCCCGGGCCTGCCAGAGGAATGGTGTGTCTGGGTACTGACCTTTGATTCACCCTGGCAGGCAGCGCTCAGGAATGTGCTGGGGTTACCACCAGTGTCTTGCAGCTGGTGGGCAGGCAGGCATGTGACCAGAGTCTCCAGAACAACTGGGAAGGACAAGAGGGTAGAATGGCCAACGTGGCTTCTGAAGGCTGTCTTTGTGGGAAGGCGGAGGCCAGGGAAGTTTGTCCCTCCAGCAAGGAGAATGCCATTGGGTCTCTATTTCAAGCAGCTGCTGTGTGTAATTGTTTCTCTTGTCTATGTATTGTCACAGAGCTGGTATGTTTTCGTCTATGTCTGCTGCCATCTTCTTATCAATCACTAATACCATCTGACAACTGGGCCCCAACCAGTGACTAAATCCCCACCATATAACTCAGAACTGCAGTCTTCTACCCTGTTCCGACTAGCAGGTGACAAAGACTGTTTGGTGAGGGCTGGGTTCAGGATATCGCCACGTGCTACACCCCATACTGCCACACGACCACAGGCTGGGCCTCCAGATTTGTAGCCATAACTTCTCAAAGTGGAGCTTGGGAACTCCTGTGTCTTCACAGAAGATGCTCAAACAGACCCACACCCCAAAGGTCTTCCCTGAGGAGTGAGCATCCTCTGAGAAGAGCCCTAGTGCTGAGTCAGCCTCCTGAGAGGAGCTCGGGGTACTGCACTGAGACAGAAGAGAAGGGACCAAGTTTGGAGCACATCAGAGGAAGGAGCTCACCTGTCTGGAGATGGCAAGCTGCAGAGCCAGGTAGAAAGCTGCTTGGTGATCTGTAGGTGACAGGTTGTGGGCCCTGAAAGAGCATATATGGCTGTTAGAAAATAGGAGAGGCCATCTCGACTGTCCTGATCAAACAAGTCCTCACATTTGCATTTTTATTCCAAGGCCACATTTTCAGTTTAACTATTTATATGTATTTATATATAATTTTTGATGTTGTTGAGGACATACACAGCAGAACCAGTTCAACAATCTCTACGTGTTCCACTCAATGACACTGATCACACTCTGTGAGTTACGTAACCATTCTCACCCTCCTTCTCTGAGTGGTTCCTCCCCATTAAATAAACTCACTACCCCCAGTTCCTATCGAACCTTTCAAGTTGCTGTTATCTGTTTGATCCCATACAGAAAAGCTTAAAAGCACATCATACTCAGAGCCGACATTCTTTACCAGGTGTTGGTGTTCTGTGCCGTCGAGTTGGACCCGACTCATAGAGACCCCTCTGAGGCAGTATCGCTACGGAAGTAGATTGCCCCATCTTCTTTCTGAGGCTAAACTAGCCTTTCTGGTTTAAGGTTAAAGGTCTGAAGATGATTTCAGGGCAACAGTTTTAGAGGTTCATCCAGCCTCCATGGCTACAGAAAGTCTGGAGCCCATGAAGATTTTAAATTCTATTCTACGTTTTACCCCCTTTTGATCAGGATTCTTTCATAGAATCTTTGATCAAAATGTTTAGTAATGGTAGCCAGGCACCATCCAGTAATTCTGGTCTCAGGGCAAAGGAGGCAGCTGTTCATGGGGTCAATTAGCTATACATCCTGTTTCCTCCTCCTGTTCCTGACTCTCCTCTTCCTCCATTGCGCCAAGGGCATGGAGATCAATTGCTATGCCTTTGTTCACCACCTAATGTAAAAGTAATTTTCCTCTTACCACTGCACATAGGTGTAACATAGTAGCATGTTCATTTTGTCTAGTGTTTAGAATGGCAGCCAATGATCCTAGGAGTTGAAGAGGGCTGGGGAGGCTGGAGGTGAAGATAGGCCCTGAGACTGGGCCTCCCATCAGACTCTTCCTGTGGCTGGGTGGAAAAGGCCCTGTGTCATGATGGCCCAGGAGAGCCATGTGTGTACTTGGCAAGGCAATGGCTGCTTTGGTTAAGTTTTGGGTTGGCCTTAACACTACTTCATCCAAATTTCTGGGTTTAAGAGAAACATTATGAAAGTGGAAGACCCAGTTCTTTCGTAAAATGAGATTTTTGATGAGGGAAAAGAAACTCACTCAGCCTTTTGAAGGTTCCATTAAGTTCTGTGTAATTTACAAATTTGCTCCATACAACTATGATTTGTAAAACTTTGTGGTAAGGCATTAGATTTAATTTGATTAAACTGGCTCTTGACACAGAACAGGAAGAAGCTATGATGCTTCCTAATTTATTGCAAACAAGGACTTTTTGCTTTTATGTGGAAGTCAACTGTATTTCACCATGAGCAATACGGTGACTATGCACAAGATATAATTCTGTGTTGCACAGTCTGGTGGTGAGAGAAAAACAAACTTTATCTTCTTTAAAAAGGGAGCATACTAATTACCAACGGTGGGAACCAGAGAGTAAACAAACCTTCATGCTGTTCTGTCAACATTCTGTGATTAACAAAATCTTTGACTGGCAGAAGACGAATTCAAGATAAAAAAGAAAACCAAATCATTAAGGATCCAACTGTGGCCAACACGCCAAGGATGGCTCTCTCCAGTAACAAGGTCTCTACCTGAGTTGTCGGCTGTGTGCTGTGGGGAGAAGAGCCAGAGGCTCCATTCAGCAAAGATGCAGTGTCCACTCATTCAGGGCACTGTGTCGGCAAATATGAGCTATAATTCCAGGTGCAGGATGGGGGTAAAGCAGAGGCTACTCCTGTCCTTTCTTGACCTTAAGGGCAAGGCACCTGTGAATTCCTGGGGAATCTTCATGGTACCTGGCCTTACACACAGCCTTGGGACTTCTACCACCTGTGTTCAAGAGCATGAGGTTGAACATTCACTGTGTTGCTCTTTTAAATGCCTTATTTCTATCAAAGGTCTACTCGGCACTTTCTAGTTGTTTCTATTTACAAATATTGGTTTTCTATGAATTTATCATCAAAGAATGTTTCCTTTAGTGTTCATAGAATGTAGCACTGGAATGCCATGGTTTATGTCTCTCCCAATTATTTAGGAAAAATAAGAAATGAATTATGAGAAAGACTTCACATTATTTACTTAATCTTCTTTCACAATTACTACAGCCAGGCTTCCACAGCCCGTGAAAAGAATTTCTCTGATTTGCAATTTTCTCACCCTAGTTCAATTTTTTTTTTTTTTTTTGGACATAATTTTAAACCAGATCATGGTTGCCCCTACCCAACATCAACCACATGAAAAGCTGGCAAAGGTCTGGGAAATTCAGGGTGTGGATAAAGAGAGTTCTGGCCAAAGGCCCTGCCCCAGCCTCATCAAACGATTATCAACTGTTGGCCACAGCATTGTGAAAGAAACAACCAGAAGTTCTGGAAACCCAGGCATTTCTGGGGTACACTGGGGCAGCATCTGAAAGGAGCCTAAAGGATGTCCTTCTACTGCCAAATTTCTAATGAGGTGTAACTCAGACACGTGCATTAAAAACATCATTTCCGTCACTTGGCTGATGAGTGAAACTGACCACTTCAGCTTGCAAAGGAGATGAAGAGAATGCCAAAGGAAATGAGGGAAAGCACGTGGTGCTGGCAACTTCCTGTAGCTGCCAGGAACTGGCTGCGGTTGTGCAGGACAGCCGCACCAGCTCTGCACCTGTGACAAAGTCCCGTGGCTCTGCCCCAGTACCCTGTGGACAGAAGTCGCCAAGCAGTGCAGGCGAGAAGGAAGACATATGCGTTCTGGAAAATTACAAGCCTGCTGGACCTGACTCAAGCATCTAAAACAGCTCCACTGACTCTCCATACAGGGAGCACCTGGCAAGACTGCTAAGAGAAACCCAGAGTCCTAAAACTGCCAGCACAGGGACCCTCACCAAGCACGTCCCTTGTCAAAGCACCCCCACATCCATTCATTCAATTTCTCTTCTGTGAAGAAAGACTTGTCAGGTTGTTGGGCCACCGAGACTGCCTGTCCTTCTATGATGTTATGTGCAACCTACAGGGTATGAGTTGGAATCGACTTGATGGCACAACAAAAACAACTGGGATGCCAGGCCCGATGCCAGCCTCAGGGCACCTAGAGAGGAATCAGACAAGTGCTTGCCCTTCAGGAGTTCCCACCAGAGGGGACCCAACGTGGTCATGACAGACCAGTGGGCAAAGTGCCCAGAGACAGGCAAGTCAGGCTGCAAGCGGGAACCCTAAAATGGGCCAGCAGATCACCCTGACCAGAACCCAGAATGCCTAGGGGTCTACTTGAGGTCTAGCACTCTTACACACTCCAGTTCCAACATTCTCTAGAGCTGAACCAAGAGTAGAGAGCCAGCTGATCAACTGTGACCCTGGATGGTAAGACACATACCTTATAGCAACAAGAACTACAAGTTACAAGCATCAATTATTAAACATCATCTCCAAGAATACCCAGTCAAAGAAGCAGGGCCAGAAGGAGAACAGAGGGTGAGTGAGTCCAAGGTCTGTGTCTCTCCCATATCACCCTGCTGCTTTGTTTGGTCGTTTCTCCTTGAAGTCTCCTTCAGTCTCGGTTATGGCAGATGTGTGATTAGAGTATATAAATTAAGAACAAAATTTAAAAATCTGGTTAAATCTATTATTACTCAAGAACCTGCCATGAGTTAAACACAGAGTGACCAATGTGCCCTGGTTTGCCTAGAACGTTCCTGGTTCCAGCTCTGAAAGTCTCATATCCCAGAAAACTGCTCAGACCCTGAAAAACCAGAATGGTTGGTCACCCTACACACACAAAATGCATCACACTCAAACTCAAGACAGGAGGGAGACAGGAAAATAATGTGGGATTGTGCTCCCTAGACCTCACTAAGCGACACACACACATGCTACCATGCCACATGCCACCTCTCCCTCATAAGCAGTCTGGCCCTGCCCTCAGAAAGCTCCTTTCTGCTGCTATGGAGCAACTCAAACAGTCTCTAGCGTTACGGTGTGCTTTCCTCTGGAGGATGGAAGAGGCCCTACAACAGCAACTCAGACCAATTCAGCATCTTCAGAAAGCCTGGCAACAACATATTGTTTCTGTTCACTGTCTACCAGCCACTTCGTGGGAGAAAGATGTGCCAGTCTGCTTCTGTCAAGATTTCAACCTTGGAAACCCTCTGGGCAGATCTCTGTTCTATGAGGTTGCTATGAATCAGAATTGACTTGACAGTAGTGGGTTTGGTTTTGCGTTTGATACCTTTACACAGGGCAAAGGAATTGGTTTAGCTGCCCAGGGTGAGCTTACAAGAGTATGCTCACTATTCAATGCAGTCACACAAATGTGATGTCTTTAAAAATCGTCTTCCTGGAGTTCCGGCAAGGTGGCAGAATAGGCAGACAAGCTACACAGACCCTCTGTAACAAAGCAATGAGAATCCAATTGAAACTGATCCAGAAGATGTTCCTAGAACACTGAGCTTTGAAGGGAAGGATAAAGAAGTAGATTAAATACCAACTAGTAGAAGAACTTGAATGAAAACAGTGAGTAAGGAGACATACAGAGCTGTGGACTGCTGGCTGTTCTGAGGGCATAGCCATTTTGAACATTTCCCAATAGCAAGCTAAGAATTGGCTCTGCTCAACAAGACTGCATGGACAAAAATTGCACTGGTGCCTGACGACCAGAAGGGAGAAAAGCGAGGAAGGGGATAAATAGGCAGACCTGTGGACTGCCGGCAGCTGTCCTGAAGGCATAGCCATTTTGGATGTTTACAAGTGGCCAGTGCAGCTGTTTGGAGTGTGTGTGGGTGGCATTTTTGCTTGAACTATGACCTGGGAGTAGGCTCCACCTGCCAAGGTCAACACGGGCAGCCACACTGGAGACCAACGACTAGTTGTTGTTGATATGTGCCGTCAAGTCGGACCCAACTCACTGTGACCCCTCCT